TTTTGGTGCTGGGGATCAAACTCGGGTCCTTGAGCTTGTGCAGCAGGGAGCAAAACCACTGAGCTAAATCCCTGGCCCCTGTGTTGGCTCTTTAGAGTTTTTATACACACGGTCAGGTCACCCACAAACTGAGACAGTTTTGCTTGCTTCTGGGTTGGGTATTTTTATTTCTTGTCTGTTTGGCTGGGCCTTGCAGTATCTGTTAACAGAGGTGGTGAGGGTGGCCGTCCTTGTCCTAAGCCTTGAGGAGAAGCTTTCCATCTTCCCATCCTGGGTAGGATGGTAGCTGTGAGGTCCCTGCAGGGCCTCAGGGACAAGTCCTCCATGCTGTGTCACAGGGTGTGAGGTTCATGCTCCTCTGAATAGCGCTGGGCTGTGGGAACTCAGAACAGCGGCCACACCGCCCCTCAGCGCCTGGTGACATCAGCCATGTGGCACATTTTAGAACACTCCTGTCTCACGACTGCTGTGATATTGTGGCCATGTCCCTTTGGAAGACTTGCTTTGTTTCTTCCTCTGTTTTCTTGATATTTGGTAAAAATGAAATTTTGTTTAGCAGTTAAATCAGAAAAACAGATGTGGCACTCTCCATTAAAATAAAAAGTTTACTAAAAGCATCAAAAACTATGGTAAAGATGAGGACCAAAAATTAAGATGTTAGGCAGTTATAAAACAAAGTCTGGGGGCTGGGGATTTAGCTCAGTGGTTCCGCCGCCTGCCTCAAAAGCACAAGGTCCTGAGTTCAATCCCCAGTACCAAAAAAAGAAAGTACAATTATTTTTATATTTCTGATAAACCATGAAGTGCAAAAATTGTAAAATGTCAGTATGTGTAAGGAAAGCATCAAGACTCCTTTCAGCAGTGTACCACATAAAGATCTTTTAAAAAGCACTACAGTTTGAGGTGTTGTATTTAAAAGTTTAATAAACCTGGAACGGGGATTTAGCTCAGTGGTTCCGGCGCCTGCCTCGCAAGCACAAGGTCCCGAGTTCGATCCCCGGCACAAAAAAAAAAAAAAAAA